TTTTTTTTCTATTTTAATTTGCTTATATAGAATAAAATATGAACAGTAAAACATGCTTCAGGAATATTCTAAAACCAAAAGAGTAAATGAAAGCAACACGGTTTTGCTCCGTAGGTCGTAATTTATTGCGCCCGTTCGTCTCTTTTGAATGCTATTAAAGCATCACACGGCCTAATTTACAAGTCAGCTGTTGGCCACCTGGTTGACCCCCTCCGGCCACAGATGGTCAGTTGTCCACTGCATTGCATGAGACTTACTTCCTCTGCCCCCCTCAAAAACAACCCAAAAAAAAAAAAACAAAAGCCAGAATGAATGCGAGTGACCTCAAAGGCCAGAGGAGCTGTGATGTGCTCCCGTCCAACCGACACTATCCAGCAGCTGCTGAAAAGACACACACACACACACACACACACACACCACACCCACACACACACACACTGTTGGTCCAGCACAGTGCCCATGGAAGTGGGACGTGGTCCCGTTCTGTTCTCCAGCTAATGAACCTCTGCTGAAAACAAGACAAAACTTCAGCCATTTTATCTGTCATTAAAGATGGAGGAAAATCCAGCTCGGTAGCCATTCGGTATAGGTAAATAGGTATACAAGAGCAGGCTAATAACATTTGAATAAAAACTACAGAGACAATAAAGATCCAACAATAGCAGCTCCAAAGGTGACCATGTAGTGTTCAACCCTGAGAGATGTAGTGCAGTAGTTCTTGTTGTTGTGAATGAAAGCCAAGTATTATTATCTCAGCAAAGGCGGAACTTTTTGATACAGCTCAGGTATTCGATCTCTGTACCGAATGAATAAAACATGCAGTGTAGTCGGTGGAAATGAATCGGTACGCAATTCACCTTTGTGGCTGTTGCGCTCCTTTCTGCAGCCAAGCGTTAATAGCTATCCATTTTTCGAGTGAGGAAAAGGGGGAGTTTTACTTCTGAGACAGATCTAGTGTCAAGGGAGCCTTCTCCCTCTCTGCATCTTGCGCTCTCATTTTATCTTGTTGGGAGGTGGTGAAGGTCAGCGCAATCACCATTTTGAGCAGCTACACAGAGTGCAGACTCGTGCATGAGCAGGCAACTTTGCTTATCCGCAAAATAACTGGTCAGCATTCAAAGGGACGGTCAGCATTCAATAGTACAAACAGTTACTTCCATTTAGCGCTGTTACATGTCGAATTGCCATTACAACTGACTGGCCAATAGAATAGATTTGTGAAAACATTTTTTTAGACATTTCCAATCGACTTTGATACTCTTTCAAAGTATAGAATTGTAGTTTTATAATGACTCATTAATGCATTTTTTTAATGACAAATAACACACGTCCATCATGAACACAATACTGGAGTTTTCCTATGATGTAGTCGAATTTTTGCCCCACCAATTTAAAGATTCAGAGTGCGCAATATTCAGTGTAGCCAAGAGAAGAGAATTAATTCCGATGAAAGGCCAACTCACCGAGGCCTCCAATGGTGTGTGAGTGATCCGAGGCACGCAGCTGAAGTGGGGCGCTCTCAGACTGGCTCTCCTCGTGGTAAAAGAGTTTGTAGCCTTGTACGCTGGCCAAATTTCTCTGCGCCAGCCGCCAGCGCACCAAAATTGTGGTGCAGTTCAAGGGCTCCAAATGCAGCTCAGGAGAAAGAGGAACTGTGGATGGCATTCATCAACATCATCATCAGAAGGATTGCGTCATGTTGCACAAAAAGTCAGATGGAAAGCTGTTTAAACATGTATTTGAAATCCAGCTTCAGGTGCATGTAATAGTGCGCTATTTGTCTTTAATCGTCACACAATTCCGCACGCTAGTAGGACGACAAGGATACGCCAGCAGAACGAAAATGTCTTTCTCATGCTGTACTGTTAACTAGTAGAATTGCTTAATGTCACTACTCATGAGTCGTGTTAGTGGGACACAGTTGTCAACTAGTGCACGATTTTACCTCAGCAGTAATATGTAGTTGTCCGACTAGTATTCCACAGAGCTTACTAGTCCATGGACCTTGAGCTGGACATCAAGGATATCAAAATAAATGGCTTCATCATCTCCATATACTGGTGCACCTTTTTTATCTTCACTAGACAAACTTACTGTGCCTTACTAGTAACATTGTTTTCCACTACTGCCTGATATTTCTGCATATTACTATTTGGCCTAAAACTACAAGTTACTCATGAATCAAAACTCCCAGTGGTTACCTTTGGTAAGTAGGGTCTGTATTGCCACCATTGCGTGACACACGGCTACTAGTTAGGTCTATTCTTGTTACTAGTAGAGTATAGAAGTTTCTGTGTAAGGTGTAATTGCATACTAGGAGGCCTTAAGTGGCACTCATCGTGAAAAATAATCTATTAAAAGATGCAGTTGTTCTACTACTGCCCTGAATTGTCTTACCAGCAACACCAAAGAACATATTAGTACATGGACCTTAAGATCACTATTAGGTAAATTCTCAAATGGCTTTCCATGCTGTCAAACCACAACAACTTTTTCTTGGCAGGAAGCTACAGTCTCTGCAGGAAGCTGTTTCTAGTCAGAGGAGTTGTCTTTGAAAAGGGAAACTCATTTGATGTTTACCAGCTGCTCCACACTTAATCCACAGCAGGCACGACCTCCCTGACGACAGAGGGAGCGATTTCACACATTCTCATTTTCGGAATGATGACTGTTAGCAGACACCTGAATTTCAACAGAAGACACACGGCAAAAAGAATCCCACAAACACCCCCCTATTTTCCTACCACCTCAAAGCTCCTCAATGGCCATCTACTCTTTCCCACCCGGAGGGCTGAGTGGCTCCCTTTATGACCCATGACTGAAACCCTTCCAATGTTACTGACAGCGCAGGGCAAAGGTCAGCCAGTAACAAACGCAATGCCTTAACAAGATTATTGGCAAACTTCTCTAAGCAGTTCGACAGAACCCAGGAATTTAGCGTTGCTTTAAATACAGTGGTGCCTTCGCCATCAGTGTGCAATATAATTCAAACATAGATCAAACACACTTAGATTTGATGGTTTAACACAAAGCAGATCGTTACAACTAAGATGCGGTAATGTTAGTAGTATGTCTGTGAGTAATGTTTTTTTTTGTCTGTCCATGTGTATGTGTACAAATTATTTTTGTATTCTTGAGAGAAAAATGTGAAAAGGAAAGAAAAAACATGTCTGTTGCTTAAAAGGTATAAACAACTGCAACATTGATGCTTGTTTCATTAGGCTATCTATGGGGATTTTCAATGCGTGTTAGCATGGCACGGTGCAGCGTAACCCAGCTGTCTTTGGGCAGTCGGCGGGGCACAGCCTGAACTGGTTGCCAGCCAATCGCAGGGCACACAGAGACGAACAATCATCCACGCTCACACTCACACCTAGGGACAATTTAGAGTGAAAACTATAAATATTTGATCGTCATGTGAGAACAGAAGGAATGCAAAAGTGACAGCTCCGAAATGTCTTTTGATTTTTTTTCTATTTTAATTTGCTTATATAGAATAAAATATGAACAGTAAAACATGCTTCAGGAATATTCTAAAACCAAAAGAGTAAATGAAAGCAACACGGTTTTGCTCCGTAGGTCGTAATTTATTGCGCCCGTTCGTCTCTTTTGAATGCTATTAAAGCATCACACGGCCTAATTTACAAGTCAGCTGTTGGCCACCTGGTTGACCCCCTCCGGCCACAGATGGTCAGTTGTCCACTGCATTGCATGAGACTTACTTCCTCTGCCCCCCTCAAAAACAACCCAAAAAAAAAAAAACAAAAGCCAGAATGAATGCGAGTGACCTCAAAGGCCAGAGGAGCTGTGATGTGCTCCCGTCCAACCGACACTATCCAGCAGCTGCTGAAAAGACACACACACACACCCAAACCCACACAC